AACATATTAAGGTACACGAATCATGTTTAAGACAGACTTAACTGTCTATAGTATTTGAGGGAAACCAAGACCCCAAATATTTCATATACGGGATATGGCCACTTAAATAATTACTTTGATTAAATTGCTGAACACAAAACGCGTCAAACGATATTATTGTATTGTACAATATGTATGAAACCACGCATTTTTTCAGTGATGTCCAATTTTAGCCCGATAACGATAATGTTTTTCATTACAGTTTGATTGAAGGACATATGGTATAATATAGTACACAGAAACAGCTACACAACAACACAGTCTAAACACAGCAGATTACGCATATGACTTAAAACAATGAACAACCACCCATATCGTAAAAATATAAAACAGAGAGAATTATCATTCTGTCAAAATATAGACTGACCACGTTCAACAGGACAATATTTACAATTAATTCATATAAAAGGGGGATATTTATTTTGTCAAAATTTCTTAGCCTAAAGCATGGGAGAAACATCCACATATTTATGTATTATCTCTTTTCATGTCTGATAACTTTATTATCTATTATATAATGTAATAACTAGATAATCATAATAAATCTGACTCGATCAATCATATCATATTTCTCATCTTAAGGATAAATGATTGTTTGTTTAAGATAACCTTATCATAAAAGTTATTTAGGTTAATCATTTCCTGGGAAACATTTATACTGTGTAACAGTATGTTCCGTTTGTAATATTTTTTAGATACTTAGTCAGATAATTTTCCTTCCTCCATTGATTAATCTTAAAATACTACTGTCCGTCGGCATCAAGTTTTTCTTTAAGTTGTTCGCTTATTATCCCAGTATTTGTCAACTTGTTGGCAGCTTTTCCATTTTGCTTTGTTCAGTCCCAAATATTTCACAGGATTCACAAGCGCGACATGTATGCGACATGCATTCAAGCAGGTTAACTGGATTATGATAGCATTCAAACAGACGTCGATTTAAAGACATTAAGGATATAAAGTAGTGTCCTGATATCACCATTAAATGAAGCAGATCAAATATGTTAATCTATAGAAATTTTAGACTATTTAATAACAACTTTTCTGTTACAGTAGTTGTAAGAAAACTACGCGCTGGCTGACCTAAATTTCGAATACGGACAATAGATCATAAACCTTTACCTTTTTATTACTGATTGAGGCATCATAAAAAGCCGATTTAAATTTGCAAGTTGTATGGCTCCCTTACTAAATAAGTCCGCACTTAACTACCCTATAAATTTAGCTTTATTTTAATGCCTTTTATATTGAGTTAAATTCCCCATTATATGAATCCGACAACACATTGTTATAAAATCATACGGTTCAGTTAATCTTCATATAAAAATTTACACAACATGTTTTAAAAAAATTCAATATTTCAATCGTTATTGTAGTGGTGTTACTATCATACACACTAAAATCAATTAATTCATTATTATAACAATTACAAGGTAATTTTTATCAGGAAGATGGAGACATCAAATGCATCCGGGAACTTGTTCCTATTATAAATCGTTTATGAATGTTGTACATCGTTTTTGATATTGTTACGTACATCGTCTTTGATATTGTTCCAAGCTGATAGAACAAATGTATAATGAGCAATACTTCATTGTATTTGCCAGCATTTTGTTTGAGTCATAATTTTCAGTTGAGAGCTCTCAGAGGGGAGGGACGTAGCTAGCGAACAACTCAATATAGCAATACAAGATATTGGCTTTGTAAAGGTTTTAAATGCTCATGCGAAAATAATACATTTGTAATAAAAGTTAACCCTTCAACATGAACATAAATGTAACTATGGATAAAATAAGATGAGACAGCAATGTAACGACATAAAATTATGTTCATTTCATAAGTAAAGACACCATGATTTATATAGTTACAAGCGAAAGACATACTTATATACAAATATTGCATTACCCGAAAAGAAGGTAGTTTGTATTCTAATGATGTATTCAGATTTGAAATAAAGAAAATCGGACGACAAGATATTGAAACTCTATGTCACAACTAAATTTCTACGAAAAATGGTATATTCCGTTTATCATACATCTAAAGTAAAATTAAGTTTTTCTTATAGTGCACAGCGAGTATATGGAAAGTTTTCCCTGTACAGGGATTAAGTATGGGTCGTTAGGAAGGGCTAAACAAACAAGTGGATAATTTCTGCACTATAGTCTGATATACAAATATGTCTTACTGTACAATTTACAGGAAGGGACGTGGTCCATCATGATCATATACGACCAGATGGGAAAAACATATTCAAGTCTCATATGGTGATTGGTTATGAAATTAGTCATGTAACAATAAGATATCATCAATGCTGTTTTCAAAATTTCCTCATGTATTCAATTGATCTACCATTTTACATCTTTTCATTTTATTTCTAGTTTATCTTCTAACAAGTCAATTTCCGTCGTCACCTTGCATCAACATTTCTGATGAGTCAAGGTCCTTCGTCACCTTGCATCAACAGTCAAGGTCCGTCGTCACCTTGCATCAACATTTCTGATGCACGCCTTTGCATTCTTGATATTTTAAAAACTTTAATTCGATCTACACTGAATTCTCTATTATTTTTCATTTCGGAAGCAAGTACTTAAATGTAGGATAATACATAAAAAAAAGGATCTAACAGCGTAAGAGGGTACTTAATTTAAGTGTTTTATACGTAGAGGGTGAAATGCACACATCACAATTTAAATTAATATCATCGGAATTTTGGATTGGTTGTTAGGTCGTTGGCGTTTTTTAAAAATAGATTTTCCCCGAACATTCATTATTGTAATGTTTACTTCTTAATTGTTGCTTGTTTAACATCCAGTACCAAATATCACATGCATTCGTATTCAAGACAACAAACTATTTGTGCATGATGGGGAAATTAGACTCGGAGGATTTGTTGGAAAGGGATTGCAAGTTCCAAGCTACCTACATTTTGTGTTACAATGGTAATGTGCAGAAAGCATGGCACTTTCTCTACAATATCATCGGATTTATCATACCATGGAAGTAAAGTCAATATAATACTTCCATGATCATACCCATCCAACCGGACTTTACCCCGTATTTATACATCCGCACAGCCAAAACGGAGACTCCTCTTGAGTATGGATCAGTCTAGAAGTCTAATAAATAGACGGATATGCATAGTGTGGAAGGAAAACACTCCTTCCCTTTGCCGAACATAATAATTTGCACAGATAGATAAATAAACAGATTAACAAAACTTTGACATAATTGCCTAGATATAATTTCTGACAAAAGGAGCTCGCCCTTATCGCCTGAAACAAGACACTGACACAGTGATGTAGGAATGTATTAACATCAAAAGAACCTACTAATATGCTCCAGGAAATCTTATTAAAAATGTATACACATTAAATATATAAATACAATTATTTGTATGGGAGCATACTTCGGTACGTGCATACGGGCAACATTAAATGATTTATTGAACCTTATTTTAGTCATCAGAACAATATATTAAAAAAAGCAAATCCTTCGACTTTTCAAAGCATAATTAATTGTGTTCAGAAATTAAAAAAAAACACTCTTTTCTTATTTTTTGGATTATAAAGATGTATAAGATAAGATAAGATTTTTTTCCAATTGAAGAGCAAAGCAATTTATTACAATGATTTTAATAATTGATACAATAATTTGGATAATCATGTATAAATATGAATATAATGAACTAAGTTCTATAGATCTGAAACCACAGCCAGACCAGAGCCATAAGCATATAAGTAAATAAAACAGCAACATAGCTGATTATAAACGTCATTTTGTATACGTGCATACAATTACGAAGGATGATGTCTTAAGGTTCATCTATACACCAACAAAAATGCCTGTGTTTACACCATGAAATTTTCTCTGAATGCAGACAAAACTGTGTAATTCTAATAGTTTTAAATCCTGGCAGCACCTAGATATATACAAGTTGTATTCATTTTGTGTTTTAAAAAGAAAAAAACTTTTGTGGATTTTGCTAAACATTTTCTTTCCTTGCCACAGGTGGTGTAAAAATAAACAAAGTCATGTGAAATCTTTGAGATGGTCCCCCTCAGGTAATGATTGTATTGTATCATATTAATTGATATGGACAATAGAGGGACAATAGAAATCTACTCACAACAAAGGTGATTTAAATAGTTGAATGAGTGGACTGTATCAAAGAAAACTCAGGTGTTTGTTTATTTCACCATCTTCTGTGGCAAGGAAAGAAAATGTTCATCAAAAGTTTTTTTTTAACTTTTTAGAACATAAATTGGATGTAACATTAATTTATCTAGGTGCTGCCAGGCATTAAAACTTTTTAAATTGCACAGTTTTGTCTTAACTCAGAGAAAATTTCATGGTCATACAGCCATTTTTGTTAAAGTGTATAGATGAACCTGAATTCAACAGTTAATATTGAACAACAATGATTTTTTTCTTATCCTGCTTATAAAATTTTGTTCAAAAGACTTTTAATGCTTGTTGATGAGTAAGGTCTACACCCATTTTAACTTTTAACGCAAACATGTAAAGTATTTTTACAGAGGCGTAAAGATTGATGTTATCATCAATTTATCAATCAATTTATAGATTATACGTGTAATATAGTTCTGGGTTATTATTTACACCGGACATCCCATCTAGAGCCCTAAACGCATACAAATTGTGTATGCAGAATTCCAATCTATTTATAAAGCCAGTAATCAATGACTCTGCCGATCAATACAAACGATATCTTCATGAACAATTTCCCGCCATGGTTTTCCAAAGAAAATGGCGAATGTAGGTCATATTTGTTTTGATATTAAATCGGCTATGCCAATTTTCGTTTTGTTCTACCCTGAAATAGATCTATGAATAAATATCACAAATTGACACATTACAATACAAACAGATTTTTAATGGGCATGCACTTAATATGATACGCCACTTCCCAGCTACCAGTGTAATTAGAAATATAACGTTATACATACCCAAAATAAAAAGTTAAATCCAAACATTAAATATTTAATGCACGTATGACAACTTCCGAGCGGCATGATTGCAAATTTTGTCTAAAATCCCTTAAAATTGATAGAATTTAACACACTAACTCCTTGGAAATATATCCCAGCTACCTGTGTAACACGATCAAGCGAAACGTTCTGCAACGCGTCAATGACTACGGGATTCAGAGTCGTAACACTGGTGCAGATCTGCGGTCAACAAACACACACCGACGCAAATGCCTGTTAAATGTTATCAAAATAATTATGGCAAAACTGTAATAGTTGAACTGAACTAATGGCTTATGAATTATGCAGGTCTAATCTCGGCAATGTTACAATTATTCAAATTTAGAATGTATGTGTATAGCGATAAAAATCTAATACATATTCTCTTGAGGGTCTTTATCTTTCAAATATATCTGTTATTGTTATTAATCGTCTTGTATATATGATATATGAATATATAAAGTACATGTACATAATCACACAAAACTACATGTACTTGGATTATAACCATGTACTAAAATTACGTAAGGCGTATCAAATGTCTTTACCTAACATGGTGGGGCGAGGTTTTAAAGGTGATCTATTTATAGTGAAAATGTAATTTTCAATTGTCCCGTAACAATAGTTATAAAGATTTGAATAAAGTGAAAACACACAGAATAACTATTCATTTTCAATTTTAATTCGAAAAATTAACCTTGGTAACAAATAGTGTAATCTAGAGGATGTAATATTCCAGAATAATTTTCCATTTGGAACATATAATAAAGGAACATATATATATATTCCACGACCCTTGCACTAAATTAACCCCGTTACAATAGTTAATACAATTTGAATGAAGTGAAAACGCACAGAATAACTATTCATTTTCAATTTTAATTAGAAAATGTTGACTAATATCTGTTTAACAAACAGTGACAAATATTACAGGCATATTCGGGGAATATGTCTTTAATGAGTTTTTTATATTCATGGAATACACCCTGCTTGTGTCAACGTATATCTATTCCTCCTACAAACATGTATATGGAAACTTTGTTATAAGCAATGATATATACTACTATAATACATGTTACTATTGGGCTCTTATTCCCTTCTTAACAAATAGTGTAATCTAGAGGATGTAATATTCCAGAATAATTTTCCATTTGGAGCATATATAATAAAGGAACATATATTCAACGACCCTTGCACTAAATTAACTTTTAACGTTCTATCTCTCGAGGCAACAGTCCTACACGAAGACATGCCACCCTATCCGAATACATGAGTCTCACTCCGAACCAACCAGTCTTCACCTTTTCTTATAAATGTTTTGCGGAGAAGCAACTCTTACAAACCAGAAAATACACCATTAAAACACAAAGGCCACAAGAATACTATTCGCTGTGTCAAAAGGTGTCTCTCTGAATAAACTAACTTTTTAAGGGTTAAACATTATGAAGATGTCTTAGTTTGATATTTCCTGGTATTATAGCCTTTTTCCCTTTTATTTGATCATCTTTTCCATTTATCATACACTGGATCGCATTTTCAACACATTCAACAAAAAACTCGTATATGCTTTTGCTATTTTAGACAGTATGTCCACGCGTATGTCTCTTCGTACGCCCGTCCATCTGTCCAAAAGCCGCAAATTCTCTTTGAATTCATAATTTCCAGTATATATGTTTAAATTCACATTCAGTATTTGGAAACGGGAAACGCAGCTTCAATTTTTATTTTTATATATTAAGGCGATGTCGTTCTAAGGTCATGCAGCTTAAAACATAAAAAAAGTCAGACAATTTTTTCTACTCCTATGTCGTACAAAAAAAAAAAAAAAAAAACCCGAGTTGTTTTCTTTTCTTTATTTGCCATAATTTTGTTCGCAATTTTATGATTTATTTAATTTGGCAGATTTTTAGAGTTGTCTTTAATTTCTTTAGTTTTGTTTAACACAAATTTTCGTTTTATTACTACATTCCCGACCTTTTATGTGAAAATAAAAGCTTTTTTTTTTTTTAATTTTTCTCTTTTTATTTCGTTATGGCCTGTCCCAGGTATGCCGTTGTCTCCAGACTAATTTTGGTGATCATGTGTTGATTTTCTTCTGAATTTCCTCACGCTTGAGAGTAAAGAATCAAATAAGAAATTATGTAGCAATTTAGTAGATATAAGAAGATGTGGTATGAGTGCCAATGAGACAACTCTCCATCCACGTCAAAATTTATAAAAGTAAACCATTATAGGTCAAAGTAAGGTCATCAACACGGACATGCATATGCACCTATTATGAGCATAATTAGATTTTTTGTTATTTTCATTGTGATATTACCAATTACGACTTATCATCGATTTTTCACGACATGGGCAAAACGACGGGTGTCGTTACTGGATCAGGAATTTACTTTCCGGAACACCCGAGTTTACCTTCAATCTTTTTCTGGGTTCCTGAAGTTTTCTGTGTATTGTTTGTGGGCTGTTGCTTGTTTTTTCGTCTTTTCAGTTGCAATGGTGGTTTTACTTCGATTTATGCATGGTTTTTGATTGCTTCCCCTTTTTGGTATTTTCTGGACCATAACTTTTTGTATACGACTACAGCTACCGGTTTTAAATGTTAAATTAAATGCATATGTTGTTATTTATAAGTAAAAGAGAGGCGAAAGAAAACAACAGTACAAAAAACACACATAGAATACTGAAGATCGAGCAACACGAACCCCACCAAAAAAACTGGGGGTGATGAAATGGTGACAAAGGGACATTTTTGTGTTAGTAACATCAGTCCTTATTGTATTTAAATTCTGCTGACTTTTTGTATAAAAATATGGCCACCTTGACGTTTTCCACCCGGCAGTTAAACTTGCGATGAAGCGGGTGACCGTTTGGCTACAAGGAATGTAAAAAATACGCATTATTCTTCCGAAGCAACCTCTGTATAAATACGCAGACACGTTCGGTGTTTCGCTGCTTACAAGGAAGCTATACATTTAGATTTCCCAGTTGTAAAGTTGAAATTATCCGTTTGAAAATTTACAAGTTGGTTGACCGTTATGTAATATCTGTTTTACCGATGACGATGGATTCTCGCCCTCTTACTTCAAATGTGACAGCATCGAATCAGCCTTATCATCGAATTTGTGTTTATAATCATGATCAATACGACGGGTGCCACATGTGGAATGGAATGTGCTTGTTGATGTTCAGTCTGTTGTTTTCTATGTTGTGTTTTGTGGACTGTTGTTATCTTTTCGTCGTTTTTCGTTTTTTGCCTTGGCTTAGCCAGTTTGTTAGACTTGCAAGTTGGAATTTACCATTGCTTTTTCTGGTTGTCTTTTGCAGACCCTACAAACTTTATTCATTTTCAATTTTGATCTTGTCCTGTTACTGCGTGAAATATTAGGTACTTTAAGTTAAGGAAACAATAATCAATCTTACAGCAAAACGGTGTCATGAATATTATCTTCGTATCAATTAGCCAAAATTAAAAGGCAAATCATTAATAAATATGAAGAATACTATAGGACCTAAAACTGACTCTTGAGGTACACCTGCTTTTAATGTACATTTGAAAAAGTATTTGAAATGGATACGACCTGATGTCTATCGGCCAAATACGAAATAGACCAATGAAGTGAATTATAAGAACATTTATATTTCTGTAATTTTTGAAGGAGCAGTTAATGATTTAGAAGATCAAAAGCTTTACATAGATCCAAAATGTTGCCCCTACTAAATTTCCTTCATCAATGGCTTTTAACCTTTTATCAAAAAAAGACGTCATAGCAGTTGACAGGAATGGTTTGTACGAAATCCTGATTGCATGACATACAACAGATTATACTTGTTTAGAAAATTCATCAAATGAGTTTTTACGTGTCGCTCAAGGATTTTAGATAGTAATGGTAAAATTGCCATAGGTCTGTAGTGAAATGCATCATTTTAATTTTTGAACCTTTTTTTTTAAAAAACTGGTATAACTTTAGCCAGTTTGAATAACGATGGGTGTACTGATTTTCTGATGCTTACATTAAAAATGTGACATAATGGAACTGAAACAAGGTGTGATGACATTTTTAAAAACTTTGCACTGATATTATCAAGACCTGTTGCTTTTGACTCATCAAGTGTGATTAACTGATTGAGTACAAATTCATTGGTTATTTGTGGTAGTAAAAAATACATTTTCTTGTATACGACATGAAATATAATTATCAAGTTTTCCAGAACAACTGGTGCTTGAGTTTGAATTAAGATTAATATTTTCAGTTATATTTGTAAAATAGTTATTGAAAGTATCAGCAATGCTCTTTGGGTCTGTAATCGGTTTATTGTAACAGTCATTTAAAGTTGCATGGTCATGATAATTTTCACTACCATTGACATTATGCAAGTGTTTCCATAATTTACTACTATATTTCCTTTTTCATGTTCTATTACATCAGTATAGAATTTTTGCTTTGAATTTTCTATGAGGTATTTAACCTTGTTTTTCCAGAATTTATAATTATACGTATATTTTTCCTTCTTATGATAATAATTACGTTTCGCATTTTCAACACATTCAACAAAAAACTCGTATATGCTTTTGCTATTTTAGACAGTATGTCCACGCGTATGTCTCTTCGTACGCCCGTCCATCTGTCCAAAAGCCGCAAATTCTCTTTGAATTCATAATTTCCAGTATATATGTTTAAATTCACATTCAGTATTTGGAAACGGGAAACGCAGCTTCAATTTTTATTTTTATATATTAAGGCGATGTCGTTCTAAGGTCATGCAGCTTAAAACATAAAAAAAGTCAGACAATTTTTTCTACTCCTATGTCGTACAAAAAAAAAAAAAAAAAACCCGAGTTGTTTTCTTTTCTTTATTTGCCATAATTTTGTTCGCAATTTTATGATTTATTTAATTTGGCAGATTTTTAGAGTTGTCTTTAATTTCTTTAGTTTTGTTTAACACAAATTTTCGTTTTATTACTACATTCCCGACCTTTTATGTGAAAATAAAAGCTTTTTTTTTTTTTAATTTTTCTCTTTTTATTTCGTTATGGCCTGTCCCAGGTATGCCGTTGTCTCCAGACTAATTTTGGTGATCATGTGTTGATTTTCTTCTGAATTTCCTCACGCTTGAGAGTAAAGAATCAAATAAGAAATTATGTAGCAATTTAGTAGATATAAGAAGATGTGGTATGAGTGCCAATGAGACAACTCTCCATCCACGTCAAAATTTATAAAAGTAAACCATTATAGGTCAAAGTAAGGTCATCAACACGGACATGCATATGCACCTATTATGAGCATAATTAGATTTTTTGTTATTTTCATTGTGATATTACCAATTACGACTTATCATCGATTTTTCACGACATGGGCAAAACGACGGGTGTCGTTA